TGCGTATAAAGTTATATAATTAGTTTTGTTACCTTATATGTGCTGTCAATATTTATATTATCAACATATTCTCTTTTAGTTTGTGATATTGGAAAGTTATATTAATGCAATATATCGAATAGTTATTACATGGAACTATCAATACTGAAACAAGATTAGTATTTAAAGTCTTTGTCTATGATCAATAGAGCACACATACTCGAATAAACTCAAAACTCTTCTCTCTTTTGTTTCAATGGCATCATTAACACATCTTCTGCACTTAAACCTTTCAAATCGATGTGGAAATCAAGATTAAGATAATCCAACTTTATAAGCAGTTCTCAGCCGCAGGTGGTCTCACTGTTTAATGATCCTCATCGATGCAAATGTAAGTAACCTTATTAGTGACCTACGCCACTGTAAACATATAAACAAATGAATACAATGATACATGACATGGTCTAATATGAATATTTTCTAACTTTAGTTCTATATGCGACAAAGATCTAACATTAATTTAATTTGTTGACTCATTCTTAAATAGGGTGATAAGATTCACGCAAGTTTAGAAAATGATTTAGTGAAGATTTGGTGAACCAATTTAATCTTTTCCTGGCTAGATGCAGATTTACAAATGTCAAACTTCTCTTTGATTCGGGCGAAACATCTTTACAAGATAAGCATCATATCAACAACCGCGTGAGAAACTCTGTATATTTACCAAGAGCAACGCAACCAGTCAATTACAGAACCATTCTAGATGGAACTTCAGTTTGGATTACTTGATTGGTAAGTAACTAAATTCTTAAATAATCTATGTCAACTACCAGGGTTCGCAAAGTTTTGTATTTTAATCTTACAGATGTAATCAGATATATCGTGGAGGTGACACATCTTGAAGTTGTGTAGTCAATGGGAAAGAAACAAACAAAATTTGGATTGAATTGTGCAATATTTAGTACAATTAGTTTGCTTAGTTATCTTAGAGCTTTATATACTTATAAAGAGCTTAGGGATGTCGACTCCCATTGGTGTTATGGAGTAAGTTTGCTTCAGATGTTAAAAAAACTATCTAGCTTTGTGGTCAACATTTAGTGCTATGTGTCATGAGGTTTAGAAAAATTAAAATTTGGAAAGGTGAATATTTTTATTTATGTACATTTATATACATACATACATATATATATATATATATATATATATATATATATATATATATATATATTGAATATATTTTTATGTATATTAATGAATCAAATTATTATATAAAATGGTGATATCAGTTGTTATTTTTGATAAATTTTACAAGAACATGTATATTTACATCGTGGTATAAGAAAATTATAAGAAATTGTACATATATATGTAAGAAAATGTAACTTAGTAGTAATAATTATACATAAAATACAAAATAGGCTTCATATGTACATACAAAAACGTCTCAGACTACTATAACTATATATTAACAAACTACCCGAAAAACAACCATAAATTTATAATCTATGTTTATAATCTAAAATTTGAAGTGTAATTTTATATATATGATATAAAACCAATTACTTTTTTTTGATCAAATGTAGACACATATAGAAATGTTAACTCAAAATAAAAATAAACGTCCTAATTTTTTTACGTCCCGTAAATGTAAACTATATATCTTTTAACAAAATTATTATAACTTCATAAATTTCCAACCTATGTTTATTAAATATTTCATTCCGCGCAAGGCGCGGATTATTCCGAAACAACCAATACAAAACAAACTAATATGCAAATAAAACAGATATAATATCTTCTTATCTTCAAAAATACAACAAATTTAATCATCTCATCCCGCGCAAGGCGCGGGTCTAATTCTAGTCTATATTATTAAAAGAGAAGTACCCATATAAAATACCCCTGAGTTTTTCTAATTATTTACAATGTTATGCCACTGAAGTTATTAATTACCCTACCTTATAGGATTCTTTGTTTTTTCACTTTAA